TGCATAATAGTTGTCGAAACAAATCATTTATCAATATATTTATAGGCCCGTATTAATAAATGTATAAAAAATGAACTAATCTCAAGTAAAATACAAAAAAAATAATTATCAACTTTTAACTTCAAGAGCAATAACCGTAATATAATTTGAATCAAACCCGTTCGTCTGTGCATTTTATCGTATAATGTATTAGCCTTCTTTTATTTGTTAAAAAAGATTTTAACGTGTAAAAATTTACCTTTATTATAAATAAAAATATCAATAACCCCTGGACTGAATAATCCTTGTGGAAATAATATCATTTTGTTGAAATAATGCCACTAATTCTGGATCGAAATAGTCATATGTATATAAAATAGTCTTATTCTCATCCCCAGTAAACTAAAAAAATATTTATCAACCTTTTACTTCGACAGAATAACCATAATATGTGTAATCATTTATTTATTGCGAATATAAATATTAACAACCATCGGAATTTTTAATTTTTTTAAATTGAAAAACCCAAAATTAGCCATACATTATATGTTCACAGATTTATACCTGGCAAAGAGAGTCGATTAAAATACCCAATTTTAGCTAAAATATTTTGACCATTTACAATATGGTTGTCACTTTTTGATTGTCTTTTGCTTTCTTTTAAAATTTTTAATTTTTCTGCCTTCTCGTTTTAATTATTTCCCCCCTTTTTTTGAACCTAACAAGGAGCTATTACGTGGCTTGAGCCAGACAGGTCAGTACATTTGAACTACTGCGTGTGCCTGACACTTTAATATTTATCCATATATAATATATAAAATATAGGAGGTATATGTAAGTATATATAGAGAGGTATATGGAAATATAAGTCAAGTATACGGAGTAGTTCATATGTACTAGCATGTCCCGCCCAAAGCACGCAATACTTAAACAAGTACAATTTTTTTGACAGAAACTCCGCTCTACTCATCGAAAATTTAAGGTTGTTAATTAAATAATAGTAATAAAGTTCGAGATATCAACGTTTATTACATACAAAATTTATTCCTGTTTCAATTGCGAACAGAATTTATACGATCGCCTATTTAAAGTCCGAGATGTGTGTCGGATGTTTGCGCCTTAAAATGTTTAAGGCCGTCACGTAAAATGCGAATAAAGCGACAGAAAATCCGAAATTTATGTACATTTCAATAAAAAACAATAAATTTTTAGAATCTGCATTTTACGTCCACACAACGAGGCAACATCCGGTACACATGGATAGCGAATCCCGATAAGCACACGAATTTAAAATAAATCCATTCCGCAAAAATGTTTAGACTATAATTAGTTACATGCTCCTGTCTTCTTTTTATTATATCTATTCCTTATGGGAAGAAAATTTGGGATTTACCTATCTAGATGAATGTAAATAATAATTATTTTTTGAGCGGATTTAATAGTTTCCAAATGGCTCGTAATTTTGTGCCTTGGCGTGAAACGAATTAGTTTTCCGGTAGAGCATTAAATTCTGCCTTTGCAAATTGTTGAAAATTAAAGCCGTCGTCTGCATTTTTTGTTAATTAAAGTTAACTTACATTGCCCGAAAATGGATTCATTTGCAACCGCTGAGGAGCGTGTAAGTGAGTTAAAGGTATTGTTCATGTGTATAACTTCGGGAACCACTTTGCCGATTCATTCAATTAAGTTAAATATATCGAGAAAGTTTGGAAGTTTGATTATCCAGTTTAGTAGCAAATAACACCGTATAAGCGCGGTATTTATTCATTTATCCGCTGACATATTGTGTTTGCATCGGTGCAAATCAAAATTCACGTAATGTACATCGAATAAATGGCCAAAGGTTTACGAGGTAATGCACCGTGCTTACGGCTTCAAAACATTAGTTTATTTGGTAAAACAGTTCTCGACTCTTAACTAAAGGAGACATACAAACATTACGATTTTACAGTTATGTGTTATTAACTGCGTTTTGTGGACGCTATTGTTTAAACATATTATAGTTATAATAGTTTCCAACATCGCCACTAGGTAATTAAAGTTTAATTCTCGTTAGTTTATCCGGTAAGCAATTAAATTGAAAGTGCTGCTGAATAAATACCTAATGTCATTGTCGCCAAATGTGCCCTTGTTATCGATTATTGAAAACTATTAATCAGTTAATGGTTTATATTAGTAATAAATTAAAAAACACAACAATTGCAATCCATTTTAATGCTTAAACGGCCACGAAATATACACATTCTCATTATGGATGCAATGTTATCAATAATCATTCCCCAAGAGTAGGGACCACCGACGTCAAAACTTAATTTTCTGATTAATGGCGTATTTATTAACTCCGCTTTCGAAAAATGATTAGAAATTATCCGAGTCGGTACTTTATCTTCGTCGGGCAAATTAATAGAAAATAAGGACTTCCCGAACGTACAAAACAACGAATTTGTAAACAAGGCTTTCAATAAATAACGCTTTGATACAGTGCTGAACAAAGGCGACATTTGGAAAATAATAGCTATTATCATTAATTAAATAGATTTTCTTCTGCTATTAAAATTTATAAAAATTTATAAGTAAAATTAAAATAAACTGTGAACAAAACTAACAATTAACGATATAACTTCCACTCCCGGTCTAAATAATGGACGCCTAGTTTTTTTTTTCATAATTTTTCGCACTGCTGTGGCTGAAAGCTAAAAAATCGGTTTAATAAATCCTAAGAACTGCGCTAGAGGTTCTCATTAAAATAATTTAGTTTTACTGAGAAACTACCATTATTGCAGACGTTAATGATTGAAATTACTTGCAAGGTCTACGACCAGAAGCTTCCAAAGCAAAAGGCTTCGAGTATAATCATAGTTGACGCTTTAACATATTAGTTCCATATCGAATTCTGGCGAAGAGTTAATCGCGTTTTAATGCATTAATATTTATTATACTTTTACTAAAAACTAATAAGACCCTACAAACGTCACAGCTTTAACTCTCTACCGTCTGCATGTCTCCCTTAGTTTGTGTTTAGGTTTTTTAGAAAATTCAAGGAAAAGGTTATGTACCTGTATTCGACATAAAGAACAAAAAGAGAAAACAAGAACCAACAAATGCTTTTTAGCTTAGTGGAAAACGTATTTCGAGGCATTTTGGATGTTTTTTGTTGTTGTTTATTTCTTCATTCCCTCTCTAGGCCCAAAATTCTAAACAAGCCAGTCATTACGGTTAAATACGATGGCGAACGGTACTTTTAAATTTTAATTTTGTTACTGGAATAATAAGATGTCTCTCCTCTTGAGGTACGAATATTTTCTGTGGTATAGAACGCGACCTAGTTTGTGTAAGGCACAAGATACGCATAGAGCGATAAATCGATAGGTATTAATTATTCTTTGGAATGTACGCCTGCAGTGGGTTCTATACCTCTTGGTACGTCCAACATTCCATCTCATTGCAATAGATCGCGTGTTGCGCGTTAAATTGCTCTAAAAAAATAAGCATTTACATGTTTTCGAAGGACAATAATAATATATTTACATAGGCAAAGAGCGAAAAACAGCAATGACGCGTATTGTGTTTGTGTGTGTATTTTTAAGAATTGTACAGGACATATTCTTTTATTTTCAAAAGGTGCGCGTGTAATTAGATTGAAAATTCTTTTGAACCCATGAGAACGAACAGCATATTATCCGACACTATTGTCAATAAACAATTAAGTTCCGATATTTAATAACCCACAATCGTCAGATCTCGTCCCGACCTTTTATTTCCGATACATGCCTCATTTTTCTTATCTATAATTTTGGGTTATTGAAACTGGATATACTATAGGGAATTGCTAACTAGATCATTGATTAACTCAATGATTTGGATTTTCGAATATCAAAACCGACAAAGCCAATTTGTATATAAATGATAAAATTTGTGTCACGGTACTTGGGCCGCGAAAAATTTCGTCGGTAAATTCACTTTTTCATCAATCAAAATATTTCGCGTTGTTGGTTTCGCAATAAGCCTCCTCGTTGGGAAATGGAAATTTCCCAAAAACGTGTTTTTTCTAAGCATTTCCCTAAATTGTTCGATAAAACGAAAAAGTTCATGTGACAAAACTGATTCGGTCGTTCCTTTAGTGCAAATACAAAATATTCGATAAGCTCTGCTTTCTTGGGCTCGTTTTAAAACGAACTCGCCTATACCTACACAAGCCAAAAAGTTTCCTTTGGCGTATAATATGTCTAGTACGTGCATTTAAAAACTCTTAGACCCTTAAGTGCATGAAACTTTAAAGGTCGCTTGGAAAACGCCTTTCCTTGTAATAATTCTAATTTGAATATCATGCACAAACAATAAGAGGCAAAAGCGGGAAAATTTAATTTAATCCGACGATAAAAACCAATATAGTGACTGAATTTTAAGAACCAATTAAAAAATGTCCAGAATCCACTCGAACTAGTTAGCAAACTTTTGTTTTGCCGATGCTAGGCCTGTTTTTGACACGGTATTAACAGCAAAATGAAATTCACCTTTAAAACTCTCAAACCATAAAGCAAGAGTTTTAATGCTCTTGTTTTCGATGTTTCCGCATTTTCAATGATAAATCATTAGCAGAAGAAATTTAAATACAACGACGTTAGCTTTGTTTTCCGATTTGTAGGAAAAATTTTGGTTTGCGAACGTTGCAGGTGGTTAAATAAAAATCGTAAAGCTGAAATAATCCTTGGGGCGACAACTAAACTAGGGGCGCGACCCTTATTTTTCGCCTTTATTGGATCGGGGGATCCAAAAGAAAATCCAGGGACCAAGAGTAATTATTTTAATCCTGGATTTGACAGAAATCTAATATGACTGCGAATCTGTTATAGCGGACAAAATAGGGAAAAACACATAAAAGCGAATTAAAAAAGATCGGGGAAGTAATAAAAGAGTAATTGCTAGGCATGGCCGCTTTTCGAGTTTTCCCTTGATTCTGATAGCAAATTAATTCGCAAATCGGGAATGTAAAGCAAAATATAAAAAGTAAGACGACTTACCAGTCCGTGATTGATAAAACCGTGATCCCTGGCTACTTCGTCTGCAATTTCAGGCCCCCCTTTGATGTGCACAGCCCATTGTCTCGTATAATGCGTATTTGTTGAAAGAATACTAGCAACAATAATTACACAAACAAAACACAAATAAAATTTCATCGTCATCTAACGCCGTGTTATTTAGCGTCGATTTTTGTTGCGGTATCGGCTTCAATTATTCTCATCGGTGCGTCAGTCTTATTTGTTTGTGCTCTACTTGATTAATTTTTATTTGTTTGTGTTTTATTTTGTGTGCTTTCTTTTTGTCGTTTGGTTTTAATATGTTATAGGCGTAATATCAATTCCGATTTTCCTAAATCCTAATTAGTATTATCGATGAGCATTTGAGCGTATAAAAAGTATTTTCACTCTGAAAATAAAAGAAACAAAACATTAGTACGTACCTACTATTCGAGGTTCTGTGTTGATTATACCATATTTTACCCCCAAAACATCTTATACTAACAATTTTTACACCATCGATGGGTAAAACGTACGGTTTAATCAAGACATGTTTGCTTCATTTAATTTAACTTTTATCGGGTACCACAAAGGGATGTCTTTATGGTTACTTAAAAATCGCTAGTGTGGGGGTCTAGCCGTCTCCCATTCTATTTTGTATTTTTAATTTTACGATAAAACGATTTTTAAGCACGCATAAATGTATCTCATATAAAATATAAAAAATATTTCGATTGGGATGAAAATCTAGTTCATTATAAAATCCTATGTAGGTGATTCGTCTTAATTACAGGGGATGAAAGGCAAGGCAAAAAACTACACGATAATTATAACGAACTTAGAACCTTGCAATAATTGCTGTCGACGTTTTTTAATTATTTACAAACACGTAAGGGAATCTTTGGTGTGCCTAAAATAACGAATGCAATTAAAAGATACTTTTCAACTTAGATGATAACTGAAAAAATTACGAAACGGAAAACATAAAGATTGCTAAGCGAGTTGTATGGGATGTGGAATACCGAGAAATCTATGCCATTTCGTTTTTCCCGAATTTTATGGAGAATACAAACATCGACAACATGCTTTAGCGTCAAAATAGGTTTTTAATGCAGCAAATAAGCAATTTTAAGAGGAAACGAGAGAGGTCGAGGCACTATCTCTTTAAATTGCATTCTGAAGCGAATACCTTATCAGGTGTGAGACCGTTGGTCGATATAAATCTTTTAAATTAACTTGTACATCCGGTAGACGATAACATATCGTATCGATTTCATTGTCCGTCAAGATAAGGGATGACTTACCGCATTTCGGCTATTTGCGTTGGAATACAAATAAATACCACGCAGATGATGTCTGCAAAAATTATACGGAAAGACATTTCATGGTAAAGCATCGTAAAACTATTTTTAAAAATTGTGAGTCTCCGCAAAGCACATTATAGTCAAACTCGTAACTCGTGTGTAAAACTCGTCCAAACTTTTATTAAACTCTCGCGAAGAATTTGAGGCATTTATTTGACATAAAGAATTTAATTTGACACGCAAAACTCGTTTAAAATTACGGCCTATTTGGTGTCACTAAAATTTATATCTAGAGTCCCACACACGGATATTAGTGCATATGCTCGAAAGACCGTGTTTTGATTTGTTTAAACACGTAATACCGCAATAAATAAAAGAATATTTTGTTAACAATATAAATGGAAGAAACAAAAAGAAACTTACACGCATTTTGGCAATACGCGAACAATTGGACACACACACCGATTCTGGCTGGAAGTAAATTACGGAAAAAAAAATTATTTACGTAGCTTTTTAGCGTTTAGTAGGATGACGTCTGTGCAGCTCTAATTGAATTATTTTCGAAAAATTATTTACGCGAACTCCGGCCGCCAAACAACACGCGCGACTGCAAACCAGAAAGCTTTTCCTGCTGCGCTGTTTCCCCGTAGAGATTCGCAGGATTTAACAGACTGAGAGAAGGTTGAAAACAACGCGTGGATGATATTTTTGCGCGACATGCGCGCGAATGAATCCTTTTTAATTGTTCCGATCGTGTGGAAGTTTATCCTCTTCGTTGGGGTTTTTCTACCATACGAGAACTTGTTCTACTTATTATTTAGGTGATAAAGATTTTTATATTTAGTCTGAACTTTCCGCAAATTGTTTATGTTTCCTGTTGCTAACCAGAACATTTTTCGTAAACTTTACAAAAAAATCAAATTTCAAGTCGGCCAAAAATGAATCACGATTACTAATCGATATGTATATTTTTCTAATGCCTTGATACGTAAGCTTAACAACATGACGTTTTGTTATTAACGTGAGAAAACTCGTGGTAATGATTCAGAAATATTCCAAATACTGGCATCTTAGATCTACCGCGTTTATATTAGCTTTTTTATCAGCCATCTTAATTGCACACAAAATTAGCTCGAATTTTAGCATATGTGATTTTTATTTGAATCTCCAGAATATCTGTTATCTACATAATCTTTTTCATGGTGTTTGCCAAACCCACCCACGTAACCATCATTTTATTGTTAATTATAATCCGTTGGAAATGTTTGCGCAAACTAAAAATGGGGAACTACGTTGAAATCGTTTTATAGGGCATTCACAAGACAAGTTGAGACGTTTTGGAAAGTCGAATGTTGCCACTATCAAGCTGACCTTTAGTAATCTAAGCTATGTATTTAAATGTTTCCCGATTTGAACTGAGGTGGCTTTTACTTGATGAAAATTCATTTAACAAAATAAATAAGAACTAAAAGTTCAGATTTTCAAGATATTTCATGAAAATCTGAACTTTTAGTTCTTATTTATTTTCTCGGTATTATTTTTTACGTTTTATGAGCACAAGATATTTTTTCCTATTTACTGATCAATCCGGATTTAATTACTTACTGTTACCCACGAAACGCTGTAACATTTACGATCTGGATCGATTTCCTTTATTGATCCAATGAATTAGTTAATTTTTATTTTGTATTTGCGCGCTAGACTGACGATCAATTTAACGACCGTTCAAGGTTACTGATTAAATCTGATGAACCCAAATTGTCTACTGTCACAGATTCAAAATAAAAATCAAGTTTGCGACCTAATTTCGCAATACGGCAATAAAGGGTTTTATCAGTATTTCAATTTGTTTTAAATAGTTTTTGAAAATCGGAATCTAGGTTTGACAAAATGTTAAAAGTTAAAAAATCTTCCAGAGCTTTCCGAACAAATCAAACCGTAGATGTACCATTACGTTTTGATCGTGTTAAAAGTTTTATGTAATTTATTTTTCATCGAACCGCGGCAAAGTTTGAAAGGTCTCTCCGCGGTGGCAAAAAACCCATCGATTATTTGCAATCGAATGAATAAAAAAACATTTTTGAATCAAGTTTAGATGTTGAACGTTCAACGTGAGACAAAGCCGGTTGTATAAAAACGTTCGATACTAATTCGACTTTCTATCTCAGGGTTTGCGAGACGAATTTTGCATTGTGTGATAATTTTGCATCGAGACAAGAACATTAACATGACTGCGTTAAATAATTCATATTATTATCACGTGTAAAAGCACAAATGTTCAATAAAGGTCACCGGTAAAGCTAATTGATCTACAGGGTGTATATCGAAAAAAAAAAGATTTCATTTTACCTACATGCATGTATAGATTTGTACTGAGAACTTTGCTATTTGACCTCAATCGTATCATAGACGTTCGTTTTCAATAAAAAAAAGCATTTCCATCCAATTGTTCTCTCTATTGCGGTTACTATACAGGGTGACCTACGGTTAAACCGTCAAACGTCTAAGATCCGGTTTTTAGGTAAAAAGACAGGTTTTTATTAAAAAAAGGTTTTTTATTGACTATTCGACAACCTTTTTGCTGATTTTGATTAAACTTAGCATGCTAGTTTGAAGTAATAAATTACTTCTTTTAACTCAATTAAAACAAAAGTGTTAATCGCAGTAGCGTCACAGAGGGCAATCTAATTGGTATTTAAATTAGAAAAAAGGATTTTGAAAAAATAATAACAACAGTTAAAACTAATGATAATTGAAAGGCGGGTTTTGGTTATTGTTTGGAAATTGGTTTTGTAGGTATATTTTTAACATTTTTCTAAAGGGAAATAGGATTAATTTTCCAGAACTACTAAAAATATTGTAATTATTATAATGTTATGTTTTTTCTGTCCTGGCAGTAACCTTCTGGCAATATTCTCAAGTCGATCGAACAATGCAACGAAGTAAAAAAAATCGCAATCATTTAAACCCAATTTAAAACCTAAAAGCAAATTGCGATTTGAAAGCTACTCTATTACAGAAGCTGCTGAAGTTCATGTGACCGGATTTTGTAATGTGGTCGGACACTTTTCAAATGAATGCCGCTTGGTGTATGAATTCAGACAGTTTTTACTCGCTAAAACGTCCGAAACTTCTCTTTGGAATCTCGCTTGTAACATTGTAATCGACTAGAGGTTTTGTAATTGCAAATTTTATTTTGTCCCCCGTGACTTTCAAGCAATCTCAAACGGGAAGGCGGATGGCTTGGAAGTTTGAGCGGCGTAAAAGGATTTTTTTTCGAAACGACAACGGTCGGGCAGACTTCCAGAACACTTTAGAAAAATGCGTGGGAAATATTCATCTTCATTAAGTTCCCCGAGTTTGTAAATTTTTAATAATATAACTCGACAAGAGGATGGAAATGATCTGGATGAGCGTATCCATCAACGTCAGAATTATTTTATACTTCCCCACTTTACTGCGCCCTTAATTTTGCAACGGCTAAAGACTCATTTACATATTTCCGATAAAAAAAATCGTGATTTAATTTAACTTTTCATACAACTATATATAATTTGCGCAACGAATTGAACCAATTCAGTTATAGCGGGCAACGAAAACCCTCTTTTTCGGTATAAATGTTTTTATTTTTCAATGTATTCGATGAGAAATCACTTAAAAGGCTCTACATCAGAAATGCAATTTTTAAATATGTTCGCCTAGCTCTCATAAACCGTGTAATTACTTTTAATTTATTTAGAATAAGGTGCGAAGCCATTTGATCGTTTTGATATATTACACTTATTTCGAGGGATTTTATTGGGATAAAAGTTCGAGGAAACAAAGCTGAAGGTAAAATTGGTAATACATTTTTCTTCGTTCGCCTAGTCGACATGAAGCATATATATCCCCAAAAGACGAGGGGGAGATCTGTATGTAGTTTTTGTATGAGAAAGTATTTCGGTAATTCGCAAGGGACCGATATTCAACGTCATTTCTTTCGTTGGGGTACATTTCGGTACAGCTTTCGAGTAATTAGTTTTTTTTGTAGTCTTTAAACGATTTCAGCAAACGACTTAATTGATTTTATCAGTGCCCATAAACATACAGATATATCGTTGTTTCGGTTTTTATTATGGCCTTTAAAATAATAAATCCCCTCGTAGTCAGTTTAAAATCCATCCTCCCGTGACAAACGACATAAGCAGAAACTTTGGAAGTTTTTTCATTAACGTGTCAAGCTGCAAAATTGGGGATTATAATGCAGTAATTTCCGTGTCGGTGTCAGTAATTAAATTTTCCTTCAAAATGACAAAGTATTTAGCACTTTTATTGCCGGTAAATCACAATGACAATCTGCGCGAGTATGAACTTTCACAAAACAAAAACAAGCTCTATCCAAAAATACTCTCTGGATAAAATAAATATTCCAAAAAAACTCAGCTACATAAAACTTTGGTTCTGCTGGCTTGAGGAATGTTTAAAATATTTTATACAGAATTTTACAATGAAAATTTTTAAGTTTTATATTCAGAAATAAAAATGTATGCTCTGTTCTTAATGCCAGAGAGTTATTAATCCTTATTGAACTGTAAAACTTAGTGACCTTTACCCATTCCCTAGGCGTAGTATTGTATCTATCGATGATTATCAAGGGTCCCGAGGGTTCGTTCTTGAAAATGGCAAGTATTTCTGAATTTGTTGCTGAGAAACGAATTAGTAAAACTGTGCTATCTAAAAATGAGAAAATTATTATTCTGAATTTCTTTAAATCACTTCGCCACCAAAACTCAGCATTCGGAGCTGCAAAAATAGTTGAAATGTCACCATATCACCAAAAAGAAGTGCAGGAAGGACAGAAAATGTATTAAATGAAAAAAAAGTCTGCCATCGCGGACATATGATTTCATGCCACCCATGGGTAAGAAGAAATTGTGAAAACCTTTGTAGGAAATGAATTTTCGTTAGGAAAAAACTCAAACTCAAAAAATACAGACGCCACTTTTAAAAAAAAGGACGTTGAAACGGTCTTGTCAGACTCTATTAAACTTATTACCAATGAAACAAATGTATAAACGCAATAAAAGAAATTATTGTTGGGTAAAACGATATACTATATATTAATTGAGAGAATGGGAGAATCTTTTATATTTTGTTATACGTATTGTTTCTGCATTGTATTTGTTTGCGTGTCTTTATTGAGGAAACATATGTACCGTGCGTTCAATTTATCTTGATAACATTTTAATTAACTGTAAGTTTTTTCTTTTTAAAGATGTCAAGGTAAAAAAAAACAAAATTTAGGGTTAGTAGCCACGTTTTTTTTTTCAAGTGACGTGTAAAACAAAACACTATTAATTTTCTGAAATATAAGTCACCATTTTTTTTTTAATGGAACACCCTGTATATCATATATGTGTTAACACACTTTATACTTTAGTCCACTCGTTTTTGAAAAATCGGCAAAAATAGAAAATTTTTATGTAATTTCAAAGAGTGCCGTGGCGGACTGCAACAACAATAATTACTTGCAAATTAAAGTAGAACAAAAACACTAAAAATGACAAAAAACACTAAACTAAAGATTTTTTAACTATTCTAAATACTGCTGTTTGTGACCATCATTTTCCTGAACCCATTTCTCATGCACTCTAATTGTATGAGGTCTTGCATTT